GATATTTATAATCGTTAATATTACTCCACCAATAACTTTAAAGGAATATTTGAAATTTATGAGAAACTAGTTTACAAATTCGATAAAATGAAATTTTTAATCGAATAAAAAACGAATTTAATTGGAATTTAAATATTAGCTGTGGAGTTGTTTATTCATTCCAATTGTTCAATAAATTGTTAAATTCATATGTTAAATTCAACAATGATCACTTATAAGAAAAAAATAAAACTATATTAATTGTTAATTATACAAAATCAATGCAAAATAGCTTGACATATTAAATTGAAAAGTGTATCTCCGTCAGGATTGCGTCAAGATTTTTTCCCAGCAAAGGTAAGGTGTCGTCAGGATGGCATCAGGGCTGCGTCAGTGTTGCGTCAAGGTTTTTTTTGCTTTCTTATTATAAAGGAAATAAGATATAAATAAAAGAAAATAAAAAAAGATATAACACTAATGTGGGGAGAATATTTTTTAATCCGATTTTTTTTTTTTATCTTATATCGTTTCGTTCATTTTTTTTTTTTTTTTTTTTTTTTTTATTTGTATTATTTAGTATGTAATTTTATCCCTTAATATAAAATTAGAAGAGAGATTTCTCGTTTGCTTAGAACGCGTACCATACGAATAGACTTGGCATCGAAGGGAACTTGTTTATCTATAATTATCTTTCATAGGCGCCTATCATTATCCGTGTTTCCACTTTATTATCCTATTTTTAGCGAGTACGCCATATTTCCGCCTTGTATCTACTACTTTTGTACTTACTAACGTTATGAACGGTTTAATCATTATCTACATCTTTTTACTATTCATCTTTCAGGTAGGATACTATTAAAAATTTCTATAACAATATTTACATTGTTACAATTTTTTTTTACAATTACATTTCTACACAAATGTTATCATACAAATTTAATTATAATAATAATCATTATTAATTTGCTTATTTAAAATTGTTATAATAATTATTATAATAGAATTACTCTAATACCATATATTTTTATTATTATTTATAATTCTCCTCTTCTTTTTTATTTTATAATTTATTATTATTGGTAAAATATATATAAATAATGTTTTATTATATAATTATAAAAATAATAACAGTGTAATATAATAATTATTATTATAATAATGATGATGATGTTCACGAATGAATGAAATGATAATCATTAGTTTGAGTTAGTCGAATTGAATAGAGTGGAATTAAATCGAATCTAATTTGGAAAACGTTTGAGGAAGTTAGCTAGTTGGTTGATTGTCGTTCGATTATTGAACGCCACGCAAATCATAATTGGATCTTTAATGGTCGAAGAAGTTGTGCACCGATCAACTGGGCTATTCATCGACAAAGTTACCTGTGTGCTAGTCGTTATCAATGTGCATCAAACTCATACATTCGTACATATATATGTATATATATATACTTATATACGCATACATACACACATATCGCATCTTCTCGTCGTTGTCGTTGCTGGATCCGTTGGCTTTTATGAATTTGAAGATTCAATTATAAAACGATCGTTCGAGAATCGAAACGAGAGGTTTGCTGATCTCTCAATTTCCTTCTCGTCCTTTATAGGACGACCACTCGTATCCTATTCCACCTTTTAATCAAAATTATGATATATATAATATTTCTCATAATGGTATTTCATTTTATATTTTGATTTATAGTTTTTATTTTTTAAAAAGAAAAGGTTAACGAATGAATCGGTTAAACTGTATAGATTTTATTCTAGTAAAGCATAACGTCATCAAACCAAAGTAATACTGCTTTATATTAATAAGAGTAATTAAATACAGATAAAAAGATTTAATATCTCTTGTGTAAACATTAAAATAATATGAGAATATTATATATATATATTATTACGATCAAATATAACGTCGTAATTAAAGAGCAAATTTGAATGGTTGTTCTTAAAACATTACGAACACCCACAAAGAGATTTTTAATATTTTATAAATATATTATTATTAATATGCAAACTTTAATTTGTGCTTTTGTATCATATAAAAAATTCTTACAATTAGCACGTAAGTAATTTTTATTTATCATTCTAATACAATTTCCCCTCCCCCCTTTTCTTTTTAATCAAGTTATTATTATTTATTATTATAATATATTTTTTTCCCTCGTCAAATACGACGTCGTAATTAAAACAAACCTAGTTATATGGAAATTATGAACATACAGAGAGGAACTGAGTGAATTTAAAAGGTATATAATATTTAATATAATAGCTTAAATTTCTGTGTGTGTATATGTGTGTGTGTGTATGCTATGTGTGCATTCGTAATTTCGTAAAAGCTTTCTACTAGTTTTGTCCAAACAAAGTGTAAAATATTGTATAATTGATTCGTAGTATAAACAACTTCACAATTTCCTTCTCTTTCTCTCTTTCTCTCGTTCGTTTAAAGCTTTCTAGACTAGACTGTTTTATAGTTAATATTTCCGCAAGTTAAATAGCCTAAACTTTACGTAGCGATCATAAGGATACAAAATTTCATTTTGATTGGACCAAGTTAGTACATACGTAAAGGTTTTTACAAAATTGTGAACATACAAAAATTCAAGCTTTTATATTAATGAATAACACATAAAACGTTCTAGCAAGTTTCTATTTATGTACTTATTTTTTCAAACACCTCCCCATATTTTTATAATTAAAATAATAAAAACTTCTTCTCTTTACACGTATATACGCAACCAAAAAAGATAACAAGAATTGTAATCAAATTAAACGAAATTACACACTTATCTTTTCTAATAATTATTTTCAAGCATCCATTTAATTGTGATTAAATTAACGTATAGCAATAAAAAAAAAAAAAATAGAAATCAATTACGGTGCAACAAGTTCGTCTACGTTCGAAAAATCGATAAGCTAGGAAAATATGAAGAAACTTTTTAACTTCTCGACCAAATTAAATAAAACTTTTTTTCTATTATTATTTTAATCATAAATATTTTATAACAATCTCTGTGTATAATAATTTAATAAATACAATTATAGGTATCATTTAGAAAATGCATTATGAAATGCAGATTTAATTGAATTATAACGATGCACGCACGTGTGTTATACTTTGCATGACGTGTAACATACACAGTGAATAAAAATTAATCGAACACCAGTATATCTCTGTTGGATTTAAAGATAGTAAGTATGTTTATAATAAGAATGGTTTCGAAGAACGTGCATGATTATCGTAATATCATTTTTAATATAAATAAAATTTATCGTGTAAGATTTGTTTGTTTTATTTCATGCCCTTTTTCATATGGTCAAACATTTTTAAATCCCTCTTACTATCAGACATTTTTAAGTAGCACTACGTATACATATATTTATATATATATGAGAATCTCTTCTCTTATAGATGAAATTATAAGACGTGCTTTCTCGGTTTCTCTTGGTAAGATAAGCACAAAATCCCGATCCAATTAAACGTGGATTGTATTACGGATAGGTAAGTAAGACCGATCGATAAAGGGCAATTCTTGCGAAACCATCTTAGCCATAATTTTCTCCTTAACTCTTTCTATATTTCTTCTACTCCTTCATGTACCCTTTTAAATACCTTAAAACACGATAAGGGCTACTTTAAAAGTCTCTAACATAAGTATTATATATAATTTTCAAAAAGAATTATTTATTTTTATTTTTAATTATCGTACCTACGATTGAATCTTGTTCGTTGAGAAAAGGGAACAAAAAAAAATTTATTAAATTCACTTTAAAGAACGCAATATTATCATCTTTCATATTAACTTAATCATATTTTTTGTTCGAGAAAATATAACGCTTTTTCTTCTTTATTATATGTACTTAGTTTTGTTTAGTTTTCTCTTTTTATTTCATCCTCATTTAAATTTATTTTCCTTTTCTTTCTTCTGCAAATCCGACACTTTGTTGGAATAGAATTCTTTTTATATCTTTTACTTACTTTATTTCTACTCAATTTAGTATGTTCTATTAACGCAAGTAAATGGGTATCAGTAGTTCATCAAAATTTATTTTAAAGCCACGGAATATTATAAACCTTTGTAGTTTTCTCGAGTATCTACGTCTCGGAAGAAAAATGTACGACGTTTCTTCTCCAAGCGAGTTCAAGGAAAACAAAAAGTAGAAATTGTTTTTAAAATTTTTATTTCTAAACTACGAAAAGTTAATTTCCATAGGTGAATCTATTGTTTGTGAGTTAGAAATATTTATATGAAATTGTTACTCAATAATTTACAACATTTTTATGGTAGTTATTATTTTTTTGTTCTATATTTTCGATCTGATAAATCAATAACTGTTTGCATTTTTTTATGATACTAATAATTTTGCATGCATCTACAGCAAAATTCATGAATGATATAAAATATTTTTCTTCACGATTATCTAAAGTAAAATTTGCTTTATTCCGGTTCTATAATATATATAATATATGATTACGTGTGATAAGATAAGGTGTTTTAGGATTAAATTGTATTGTAATATGTTAAGTTTTATTGAAATGTATGACTCTGTAAAAAAGATAATATGTATTGACGCGTGAACTAAATGATCAAGTTGCTGATGAAGTCCCCAGTAAGGGACGAAACGTACAACTAGTTCAAAATAAATTGTTCATCAGATTTATTAACCGTCTATAATTCCCTTTGAAACTTATATATTAATATATTTTTTGGACAAGAATATTGATAATTAAAATAATTATTTAATATTTTATTACAATATATCATATACTATCAAAGAATACTGTATTCTTTGATAATATTATACCGTCATCACATTAAATACCTACCTATGGTGGTCCTACTGGTGGTCCCGGTAGTAACTAAGATGAATCTGCGTAGATAAAAAGGGGAACTTGTGAGCTTCTATGTACTTCTGCATTCTTTGCTGGTAATAACTATCTCTTTTGTCCTATTACCGATAATAGAAGATTTCTGTTTTACATTTTTGGTTATTAACGTTTAATAAAGATCAAGATACAAATATATTTAAATGTATTGTTTTATGCGCTACAAAGTGCAATAGAAAAGAATTTATGTTTACTGGATAAAAAGAGAGACGATCTTGAATAAATTTATAAAAAATAACCTAAGAAAAGGTTTTCTATCATATATCTCTCTTAAAAACAATCTAATTATACTATAAATATTTTTTATATCATTAGAAATAAAACAAATACTAAGGTGGTCTTCTTCAGCTGAGACATCCTGTGTAAATTTATAAGAAATTTTCATTATTTAGTTACAATTTATTCAATTTGATGTTAGTTATTTTTCGTGATATTAAATGAATCTTCAATCTGTTTCTGATATTCAGCTTATATTATGCAACCGTAATGCCGGCGGATTGTAGATAATTTCTTAGATGATTTGCGTTTGGTTCTGGAATTTGTCCAAGTAATCCTGGTAATTGTCCTGGTGATAATCTACCAAGTCCTTGTGCCAAATGTAAACGTACGTCGCCAACAGCTATATTTATTTTTTAAAATATATGTATAGTAATAAATTATAAAAATTCTATATTTAATTATTTTATATTAAATTAATATGTTAAATTTGTAATACGTTAAATAAATAAAAATAAATGAATGCTTACATTGAAGTGGATCTTTTTTAGGCATTTTAGCATAAGCAAGCTGACTGTAACCGACTTGATATTCCATGGTTTCTCCAAATTCAGGTATCATATTATCTTCCGGTAACAAAGTTTCATCTTGAGACAATTCAAAGAATTCTATCAATGCAGCTAAAAGTCGTGGATAAAATGAATTGTATGGGTTTTCAAGCATAACTGGACAATCGATTAATAAATTCGATACTCCTACAGCTGTTACTTTCTTTTCTATATCACCTGAGACTTTTTGTAAATCGGGAAGCAAGACGCGTTCCACAACCATACCAAACATTCTGCAATATAGTAAAAATATTATTAATTGTCTCATATATATTTAAATATATATATATATAATTAATACGAGTTGTTAAAACTTACTGTGGTTGTATTTGATCGATAATATTAACCAAACTAGTTGCATTATATCTAATAATATAATAGGCAAAGAATACTATTAAACCTTGTACAAACTTAGTAGTTTTCGAAGAAGAGAGCCTTTGGAATAACAATACAAAAATTTGTTTCATGAATGGTTCCAATGTATTCCTGAACATAAAATCAAAAATTCGATATCAAAAGAAATTGAAAAGTTTAATATAAAAATATTATTAATGATAATAATAAAAGAAAAATAAACTTACGGTGGGAAATATTCAATGATACATTGTAATAATAAGAAACCTTCACGATCATTAACCTTAGATGCAATTAACTTTTGGAAAACGCCCAATAAGCCGCTAGTTCTATCCTGTGCTATAATTAAATGTGAACCTCGACTAACATATGCTTGTAATAATCTATTGAGTGGATGAATGTTAGCTTGACGTTCAAACAGAACTGGTGCTAATAGACATGGGAATAAGGCCATGTAAGGATCGGGTATTTCTTGAGTAGCCCTGAGTTCCAAAAACAATGCCAAGATTTGGAAAACGTAAGGTATAAATTCTGGAAAAAGAAAAATAATAAGACAGTTAAAAAACCATTTACACGAGTACATGTAAAGATGAGAATATATACAATTCTTAATGAGAAGGTATCACAGGGAAACATAAAAAAGTAGTAGAACTTAATTTAACTAAGTTGGACGTTTCGTTCCTTTATTATTGGGACTTCTTCAGCAACTGGAAATTTTATTTTATTATTATTTCTTATATTACGACATACATGAGGCTCATACAATATATAATTTTTTACATGTTACCTTAATCTTTATAGTTCAGCGTCTTTTTTCATTGAGTAGACATACATTTTTATTTTTATTATTAATATTCAAAACACAAAACATCTAAACTTCGTTAAGTATTAGCTCGTTATAATTTGAAACCCTCAACAAAACTGTTTCAATCTAGACTAGTGTTTATTAGTCTAGATATCTTCAATATAAGGTGTCCTCTATTACAGTGTTCTATTTATTATAGTTAAATTTAAAAATTCCGTTATAGATGTGATTTAAATTATTTGTGTCCGTTTTAAAATTCACCGTGTTATTGTTTGTTATATGATACATTTCGCTGATATTTCTTTTATACCAATTTTCTTCTAAATCTAAAATAGTTGCCGCGTCAAATTTAAAGTTATGTCCTGTTGTAAAATGATGTTCAGCTTGCGCTGTGGTATTGGTTTTATTTACATTTATAGGTTTACAGTCATTTTTATGCTAGTCTAATCTTTTTTTAAGTTTCTGTTTCGTTTGTCCAATATAACACTTTTCACATTCATTCTTTTTTATGTCTAAGTTCCCTGTGATACCTTCTCATTAAGAATTTTATTTTTGGACGAGAGAAATAACTGATTAAATATATAAAATATACCTGAGATATCTTGCTGTAGAATTTCTTGGAATACAGGAAACAAAACTTGCTCGAAGGATAAAACTGCTTGAGGATTTGATTTACATACAATTCTGAAAAATATTTTTTATTTTTAATGTCAAATTAATGAAATCAATTTTTGCGAACATTAAAAACTTACTTGATAGACAAACTTAATGTTTCAAAAAGATAATGATTGAAATTAGGACGTGTTGGATTTTTAGCAACCATTGTAAGTTTCTCTGTCAATTTTGGTAATAAATCTGCTAAGAAAGGTACAATGTTATCTTGCAATATTCCAAAACTTCTCATAATAGCTTTCATCACATATTCATTTTCTTCTGATCCTGCCTGAGATAAACATGCAAATAATCCCTTAAGCAGATCCGGTGCTAACGGCATTAAATCGTTTCCTTTAACTCTAAAAATGAAATATAGAAAAAGAAAATGAATTTAACATTATATACATAAATTATATTTTATGAATTATTCTATTATTTTTTTTTACTTACAAAGAATTATTGTCTGTGCCTCTCATAGAAAGTATCCTATCAATTGCACAAGCAGCATACGTATGAACAACAGGACTTATAGCATTTAAATGTCTAACTAATTGTGGTAAACTTCCTACAACTAATTCCTGGGGTAAAACGGATCTAAATGACATCATAAATTTAATAGCATCTGCTTTAAGAACTGGACATTCGTTAACTGTAAAAAAATAAAATAATTCATTACTATATAATACACATTTATCATTATTAATATTTACAATGATAAAACAATACGTACTGTTCGGTTTAGAAAGTTCTGGTTCGATGTGTTGTGCTGTAAACTGTGGTAATGGAACAAGTTCACTACTTTGCGTTACACCATGCCTTTGTGTTTGACCTTTAGTCGCACTGCTTGTTATTAAATAAATAGCCGCATCTTTGCTGCGCCAATTTTCAGTAGGCTTTGCTGCATAGTTTTGTAACATTACCTATATAATAACGATGATATTTATTTATAAAAATATTTATAGGAGAATTTAAATATTTGTATAAAAATTATGAACCTGTATATAGGCACCAAAAATTTCCATTATTTTAGCTTCAAAATATTTCGATAGAACTTTGACTAAATCACAAGCTGCTCGTCTTCTTGTATCTACATCACTGCCTTCAATATCACGGCGTATGTATTCCTCTGGATTGTCTTCAAACAATTCAGCATCCGAATCTACGAACAGTCGTATGAATTAAAATAATAAATCTAAATTATAAAATACATATTTCAATTTAATTATACAGTTAATTTTATTTTGTTATCAAAATGTCTACCCTACCTCTGAATTCCATATTAGGAATAATAACTTTCTCGCAGATACTGCTCAAAGTTCCTGCATCTTCGAACAAATGTCTATATCGTGAACGATCTGCTACTATAGCCAAAAATTGCAATGCATTTGATACTAACTAAAATTATAATTATTATTATTACTATTATTATTATTAGAAAGCTTAAATATTTGAACTTATAATTATTAAATAAATGTTTCTTACCTCATCGTATTTGGTTTGTTGACCTGTTGATGTTAACAAGTTCCATACTGTAGTTACAAATTCTGGTAAAAATGGCTGAAATTCTTCATCGTATTTTTGAGCATAAAGACAAATATTATCACAAATTTGTGTTTTTAACTGCTCCAATACTCCTGCTTCTTCATTATCCTAGTAATATATCATACTATAGACATTTAATATTAATTTAATAATTATTTATAAATATTGATAATTACTGTCGTTCGTAGTGATGGCACATCAGCATTCAATATAACGAGAAAGTTTTTCATCCACGATGACATATTATCTTCAAAAAATTCTGGCAAATCCTAAAAGGACGATACAAAAGAAACATTTTAATTTTTTACTACTGCGATATAATTCAACGTCATCAAAAATATTGGCAACTTACTTGAAAATTAAGAGAATAAAATACTTTTGATAACATGACCAAAGAATTATATATGACTTTTAAGGCATCTACATTGTTAGCATGTATCTGTGCTAAATTTAAAGTTGTCTATAAAAAAAAAAAAGAAAATTAAGTTATATTTATACTTATGTATTATACTACATAAATATTACTTTATGAAGACTTACTAAAAATAAATCTGTCAATGGTTTAGCAAATTGGTCCAATACAAATTTGATCTCTGTCCACAAAGTTTCACTTTTGAATTCGTACCTATATCTCTTAAATAAAGAATGTGCGGTATGTAAGACACCGTTAATAATATTTAAATCTCCTGTATTGAATTTCTCAATCATCTGATTGATCAACTCTGGCCAATTATTTAAAAGATCGTGTTTACCGATGATCGATACAGCATCAGAAAGCTGCTTTTGTATCGAATGCGGTGAATGCAACATTAAATTAATTATTAATTTCTTTATCGCACATCTATCTTGTGCAGTTATATGATCTAGTCCATCTTCATCCTGTAAATTTATTATTATTAAAATTTTAATACAATCCAATGATTAGATATAATGTTAAATGTTAATCACTTACAATCTTCCAATTACGTTTTATATAGTTTTTAAATGCAACTGCACCAGCAATTCTTATTGTTATATCCATTTCAGGTTTGTCTATCAAGTGTAAAAGTAGTAAGGGGTAATTCTGATTTATTTCTATCGATTCCAAGAACTTCTCAGCTAAGATTAAAAATATAAATTATTCAAAATAAGTATAAAAATGTTATATTCGCATATGTAATTTACTAAATTAAAGACTTTGTTATATATAATATATAAAAGTACATTATAGCATACAAAATTTTTTTTAACGTCTTTGGATTTTTAAATATAACTGGATAATCAATCATAATCTTTTTGTTAAATAAATATATAAAAAAAAAATATTTATTATATAAAATATATAAGAATCTGTGTGTGTGTTAAACTTGAGGTTAACTTACCCGGTCTTCTGACATTTATATCAGGACTTAAAGTATGCTTCAAGTATTCGCTCAGCGTTAACAAATTATCATCGGTGAGTTCCATTTTGTATTGTTTAAAAGTTATATTGTTTGTCCTTTCACAAAATATTCTTAATTCTATCACAACAATAAAAAATCAAAGCGGCATAACGTTCCAGTGTTTCATAAATTGAAGTTCAAAAAACGCCATCTACTAGTAGAAAAAATATTCTATTTTCTTTATTACTTTCCTGTGAGTAAGCTTAGTTTCGATTATTCTTTTCATCGAGATATATCGATCTGTACTTTTAGATTAAATTATATTATTCGTTATTTTAACAATGATTAATAATAAAATTATATATAATAAAAAGAATAAATATATCGTTTTATTTTCGAGATATTACTTTCATGCAAATGAGGTTAAGTTTCTATGATTCGACTATATTATGTTTATTACTAGCATTTGCAGTTTCAGTTAGATTTTATCAGATTTAGTTTATAATTGAACAATGCCACTTTTATCATCATGTTTTATTTGTTATTATTAATTAGAATTCCTGTTGGTAAGTTTAACATTCATTTTATTTAAATCGACACAATTTTATATAAGAATTTTAATATTTTTATTATTTATGTTAAGTTTTACGTTTCTAACATTACTTTAATCAAATATATTATTGAATACAATAAATAATTAAATTAATGAATTTATTTCAAAATTATAAGTCTCTGATTTAAGGAGGTATTAATGTGATGAGTAGCAATATATAATGATAATGATACATGATGATACGATACACATACACTACTAATCATAAGTAGCATAATTAATATATTATAATTAACAATAACTTGTAAATATAGTACATTATATTGGTACATGTTAAATTTCTATAGATATATTTTTATTATTTTTTATGTATACGACTTTGTCAAAGAATGCAGAATTCAAAAACATTTGTACAAATTAATAATAATTGATAATAAATGATATTATATCGATAAGTGAAAATTTAAAAAGAAAATAATTTTTTCTATTAATATTGCACTTTGCATGATATAGATTAATGAGGTGCAAATGTTTACTATATTTTATAAATAAGAGCATAAAAAAGAACATATACTAATTTATATTAATATTTGATAACTTATTTTAACAATATAAATTATTGATAATTCATATAAATGATCTAATGCAATACACAATCATATAGGCATCCACGAAGTTGAAGTATTTTCTTTTTCTTTTTCTTTTGCTAATCATTTCTATATTGTTTTTATCTCATTCATTACTTATTCGTTAATGCTGCTCGAGAATAATAACAGATTAATACGAATAGATTATTGATTCTTTTCTTTTCTTGTGTGTTATAATAAATAGATTAATACCAAAATCCCAGAAGGCATATGTACAGTCTGTAAATTGTAATTAAGTTTTTTTTTGTTATTAATAATTAAAATGTATTTTTTTTATTTCTTTTTTAAAAATCAATTATCTCATATTACCTTTTCCATACCTAAAAGGCAGTATTTTTGTAAAATTTACAAAAATTGCCTGCCAATGCACATCTCACTTCTTCATTAGATACAATTATTTGTATATAATTGTTTTACCCTCTTGATCGTGTTTATTCAATCACTGTCCACTCCATTTTTTGATAAACGTGTTAACAATCGTCTGTTGTCTTCATCCGATCCATATATCACTTCTTCATCCGAATCATTTATCATCGAAAAAGCAGGATTATCTTTCATTATGGATGAATCTATACCCGCATATAACAAGTAAAAGACAAATTGAATTAATTTTCCCCCTGACAGAGTAATAATTAATTAATAATTATTTTCGTAATCGAAATATTTACGTTGTCCATATACTTGTTGTAATGCTGGAGCATAAACGTATGCCATTGTATACAAATAAAAATTGAGAAGGCCATACAAAGCCATAAATTGTGCCGATGTGCTATAATATGTAGAAAGACGTGAAGCAAAACTATCTTCGAGAACACCTGCACCAAATTGACGAGAAGTAACTAAACTGCAAACACCAGCAACTACTCCAGCAAGTAATGTTAAAAATCTTAATCGTAAATCTGGAAAAAATAATTACATATTGTAAAGAACAAATTAATGCAAAACGCTTTTGTTTCATAACGTTTGGTAAAGTTTGATAAAGTTTATTCACCAAAATATGGCATAGATCTTAGTTCACTGTATGCCTTTAGTATAAGTAGAAGAAGATATGCAATGTAAAAACCACCAACTGTAAAGAAGAATACTTTGAAACCCTGTAACATATAAAAAGAAATGTTATATTACGTATCATTTAATCTTATGAACAAATATAAATGAAGAAATATTACTTACATAATAATTTGATGTATCAAGAACGTAATTATATGTTGGATCTTCTAATTCAGTGCAACGAAGCCATGTTGCCAATGTTAGAGCTGCCGCCCATAGAAGACCAACAACCAACATTTTCGGCAAATAAAAAGTGATCAATCTCCTTTCATTCTATTAAAATAAATGTATATATTAATTGCTACTATTGCAATAATACTAAATATTTTTTATCAATAATACCTGTCTAAGACCATGATAAACGCAAAGCCAAAACATGAGAATGGCACATAAAAAAGTTGTTTGTAATATTGCATCGAGCATTCCAGGTACCCAAGAGTTTATTAAAAATGTCATAGGAAATAAAGGATCTATGTGAGCAACAAAAATAATGCGTAGTAATGCTACATAAGATATCAAGTTAAATGCAAAATATCATTGTTTATTTTTACGATTAGTTCGTGTAATACTTACTATTATATAAAATTAATAATGGAAGAAGAATAGAAATCCACTTTTGCTCTATTGACCAATCATGTAACGAATATTTTCTTAGCGAGTGACCGAACCAACACTGAAAAAAAATCATTCATTGGAATTATTTCAAGACTTATAAGATTTAATTATCATTAATTACCATCACTCCAAAAGTAGTCAGCAAGAAGATCAGTCGAAACCATATCTCAATTTGTGTGAACGCAGGATTGTAATTTTTAAACTGTGAATATGATACAAAACCATAAAGTGCAAATAATTTAAATTTTTAATTTATCTTGTCCAACGCATTATTTTGTTTAGTGCTTACTGACGTAGAATGTGAGATCTCGTATTGTATATCGTTGGTGGAAGCTTTCAAGTCCATGAAAATGGACAGTTATTATATAGTAGGTGTAATCTAAAAATCCAAGATGAGCCACGACAAGCTCCTCGCAAGATTGTCTCTCACATTTCAGATGTCTTGTTCTGTAAATTAAAAAATGTTATTTTATATTTAAATAAGACATTATGTTATTTATAAAATTAATCTACCTAGTATGTCCAGCTTCCAATACAGGAATACGCTTATGATTAATACTGATGCCATCTATTGAAACGCTTACTTGAAAACTTTTATCGTATCTTTCATCTACAAACAAAATCTGCATTAAATTACAATTTCCCTGCCTCTAATCAATTTTATAGATAGCGATTTTTATTGATAGATAATTAAAAATGTCATTTAATTTATTTATTTTGTCACCGTCATTATTTAACGTAGATAATTTAGCAATGACCCATAATTGTTGGCTATAAGGCGACAAAGCTGGTGTCTTCATTCTAAATGGTCCAGTTGCCATTTCGCTTCCATTGAGATGTGCTTTTTGTTCACTTGTTGAAGTTATCGGCGGACCTTAAAAGTAAAAGAAAAATCTTAAATATTGAAATATATAATTAAAAATTTAATTGTACAACAATGCTTACCAGTAAGCCCAATGAACACGGACAATCCAAAACAGGCAAAAAAGCCAACAAATACCATGACAAATTCTCTTTTGTGCATAGAATATAAACGCATTTGCACGGATCTATTTTTATAAATAAATATTTGATTATATTACAAGTAACTTAGAAAAAATTCCATAAAGTAATTCATATACCTTTCGCAACGATCATGATGATATGCTGGTGCAATGTATTTGTTAAATTCGCTAAAAAGATCACTAAATTGAGATAATGCATTTCTGACTTTAAGATTCCATCCAGCAGACGGTAAATGGTAGGAATATCCTAATCCTTGATTATCCATCGTTTAACAATTCTGTAAGGGACTAGTTTTCATTTATTTAATATATTAACAGCATTTCTAATTGCAGTGTATTATAACTTCATTATAAAATAGTTTAAAAAATTTTCTATTATCAAATAAATAGCTTATAATTCATACAAAATTTAGAAACGTTTTAAATACTTTTTAAATTTTGTAAATATTTCTTTTTTCTTTAGATTCTTTTAATCATTTGTTTACAGAATTTTAGAAATAAATATTTATATAATACTATATATTGGAAAAAATATAGAGAAAATAAAATAAATATGCAGAATAATAAATATATACATGTAATTAAAATAATGTATTACCCCCTTTCAAGAGCACCACTTAAATATGTCGATTTTACAGTGTCTCACAGTTCAACTTGTTACATTTACGTGTGGTTTCAAATTTTAACGTTCTTTCAAATAATCACCAAATTAATAAATTTAATGCAATACCATAAACATCGTAAAAGCGTAGAAAATTGAAATACGTTATACATGAGAAGTAGAGAACACGGCAGACATTGTGATGTATACTATTGATTTTTGCACTCTACATGTGTATTAAGGAATTACTAACTTTTCTGATATGTCTGAATGTTACAAATAAAATATTAAATCTAGGTTAGATCAAATTCGTTGAATGTTACAATTAAAAGTATCGTTTACGTTGTTGTGCAAATATTTTATTCACATTTGTTTTTCTTTTACATAAGTCGCAATTTATCATTTATTTTATAAAAAATAATGACTAATACCCAAGGACATTGCGTTTAAAAAACAATGGAAGGAGAACAAATGAATACTAATAAATAAAATTATTTGCTACGTTATAAAATAATCTTATGAAAATATATTAATTAATAATAGTTTAAGTGTTTAAGTAGTTCAGATTGAAACTTTATAATAATATCTAGTAGAGTAAAATGAAAAATTTATTACAAATTCTATATGTACAATCTTAATACGTGGATGGACGTATGAGTGTGCATACGCACGTTAATTCGCATAAAATCAAAGGAGTAGGATTTACATATTAACACAAAATATTAATCCCAATACTTTATCTTCCCATCCCATCCAGCTGTTGCTAGTTTAGATGGTTCGTGTGGATGCCATAAAACATCAATGCATACGCCGTCGTGCGCTTTCCATTTTTTATATAATTTTGTTGTCTTCCAGTCCCATATGTAACATTTTCCATCAGCATCTCCTGATACTAGATAACTAAACAAGATCAAAATTATATTTAAACATTATAATTTTATTATTATATATTTAAATATTTATTTATATAAAATGTATATTTTTATACCTCATGTCAGGAGAAAAATCAAGACCGCAAGCATAACCAGCAACCATATGACCAGTAAAAGTTTTTTTCCGATTCATTTTGAATCTGTTTAAGGCTGAGAATATCACAATTTTATTGTCCATGCTTTGACATGCTAACCATTTTTGATTAGGCGATGGTGTCACAGCTGGCATCGAATGCATCGAAGGATCAGCAATGTATTTCATGTCAACAGGAATATCCCTAAAAATAAATATACATTTTTATTCATTATAAGAAACAATCCAAGGTTTGATACGGTGCTGCAGTAATGCAAAAACAAATAAAATTATTTACCATTCCCAAACGCGAAGGCTTTTATCATCAGAAGTAGTAACAAATCTGCGATTATCATCAACAAAAGTTATTGTATTAACTGCACCTAAATGTCTGTCATATTCTTGAGTTATCTCACCAGATCGTATATCCCACTGTATAAGATAAATCATTTTTATATACATTAAGAAAAATTTCCCATTAAATATCACAAAAAGTAATAAATTATCGTACGACTTACACAAATAATTTTTTTATCGCTTGTTCCAGCTACAAAAAGATGTTGTTTGTCTGGATCGGGATTAAACTTAGCGCAATATGGTATTTTTCTACTCGTAAATCTGCTTATACAAGCGCCAGTTTCCGTGTCCCATAATTTAACGTAACGATCGTAGCCAGCAGAAAGAAATCTTTTTCCATCATTGTCAAAGCTTACATCACGTACAGCTTGACGATGACCGTAATAAGTTCTAACGCATCGTCTTTCTTTGTAAACTTCCCATAACTGTATATGTAAGATAAAGTCATATTTAGTATCATCTAGACAAGATAATTATGTAGATAATTTAGTATAAATAATTTTGATATTTTAAAATACCTTGACCCTACAATCCATACTGCAAGAAAGAAGCAAGTGGGCAGTTCGTGGGAACCATCTTATTTGAGAAATACCCTTTGTATGACCTTCCCATGTATGAATGTGTGCTTTTGGTAGGAAACATCGTTCAGGTGGTGAATCTGATCTTAAATTGACACCAATATCTTGTGGTGCATGTAGGAATGATCTTCCTTGATAATCCACACTATCTTTAACTGTAAAATTTAAAGTAGAATTAAAATAATTTTCTAATGATGCAAAAACGATATATATGTGTGTATACATGTAAGAGTACATACTGTGTAATACAGTTTTTTCTTCAAGTGGTTTCTCTTCCACTTGTTTCCCTCTTTTATTTCTTTTAGCTAAAATCTCTTCCAATTCCGCTGCCTCTTCTTGAGTAGGTTTAACCACTCGTCTTTCATCTATGTAACCACCCCAAGGACCTAAAAATCCTTCGATATCTGCAGGATCATTATTCCTATGTCTTTTTCTTTTATCCACAGGCCTTAACATTGTACTTTCAAATACTGTTTTACCACCTGATTCTTCTGCAGCTTCCTTAGCACCGATCAAAGTTTTTCCTTCATCTGCGCTACCATCAACGGTTGGATCCAAAGCATATCCTAAAAAGGATAATTTGCTATAGATACTTAATGTTTTATAATACAACATAAGTTTAACATTTTCATAACACTACAAATAGATTTACCATAACTTGTAAATGTCCTTCTTTGATTCTCGAATTGAAATTCACTGATATACGCTTTCTCAACGTAACCAGAAAGCATGTTTTTTGTAGCTCGTTGTTGCTGAGTTTTAAATGGATTTTCTGGGCCTAAATCCGGAGCAAACAATTCTTCATACTTTGGATTATGCGTAACCATAGATGCAGTTGAATCTATGTGTTTAACGCATAACTCTGTTCCCTATATAAATATCAGAAATATAATCAATGATTAAAATAAGATTTTAAGGGTTACAACTTTTCTAGTCTTTTTGCTTAGCTTTAAGTACTTTGTTAGCTACTTTCTCATCTACTACCAAGTTCATTTTCTGGGCCCAATAGGCCCTAAATTAATAAAGATGTATCTATGTATTAATTCTAGTTCAATGTATTGGAAGTAACTTACTGTGGATACAACTTCTGGTGCTGAACATATTTGTAATCCAATAGAACTTATCAATTTGTCAGTAGTAATAATTGAATCTCTTGGAGAAACATCATCGTCATTATTAACATGTTTATCATACTCTTTTATTTTGTCTTCATTATTGTCAACAGTACTTTCATTTTCAGAACCACTTTCACCATCACTGCTACCATAATCTTTTAAGGCTAACATACTTTAAATTGTGTAAACAACAATACATATGTTATTAATATTCAATTTTTCAAATTTTTGTTTTATTTAATTATTTAAAAACGTAACTCTTAAAATGCTAACAGCATAGAAACTTAACCATTTCAATGCAGGGTAGCCAATATTATCAGAACGAATGACGTCATTTCTGTGCGAAGAAAATCCCTATGGATTTTTTCATAGGGAAAATTTACTAAGGTTTGTTTTATTTTCCTTGTCTTGTTTTTCTTTTTTTTTTTTTTTAACATAAACAAGGTATGCAAATAAATTATATGATAATTTTTAATATTTATTCGTTAATATCTAAATGAAACTTTGATGCAGCAAACTTCTCGTAATAAGACCTGAATCGGTATTATTTGTAATCTATCCAAATCTAATTGTAAACTATGTAATGCAAGTACTACCAGGTGAATGGATGTGCTAAATTCGATCTAAATTTATTTATATGTTTAATTATTATTCACTTTCTTTTGGTCTTTCTGACACATTGTTTTTTTTTTTTAAAATAATCAAATGAAACATTTACATTTATCGAATAATTTGGTAAAAAATGAAATGTCCCCGGAGTCAAGGCTATGTCCCGCGGGCAAATCGTTTGCATTCTTCAGATATATTTTAATAGCATAAATCTATAGACTCTTAGAAATTGTACGACGTCATAAAAGTTTATAAAATATGCTTGAGAAAAAATTATTATACAAATAATTGCAATGGCATAACAATCTATATAGATTACCGATAAAAAATATTATTTTTTTTAATTTTTAGGAACAAATTATAAATATTTCGATTCTCAATGTATTCTATAGACTTCTATGAATAATATAAGTCCATATATATATAAGTTAATAAAAAATATCTATTTATAATATAATATAAATATTCAAATTAAATATATAACTGCATACACACTCGTTGCACGATTATATTATATGTACAGGGTCTTTCGTTTAACTCGACTACCTAAAATATCACGTTTATTTCGTACGATAGAAAAAAATGTCAGGGGGAAAAAATATTCTATTCAAAGGCGCCGAGATAGTGATGGAACAGAATTTTGTTTAAAGATCGTTTGTTTCGAAATATCAAGGTCATCGTATTTTTTTCAAATAAGACCACATATTTATACTAGAATATTCTTATAGCTTATAAAAAAATGAATCCAACGATGTGCAATATGTTGATTTTCAAGTGACCTTTATCGAGAAAATTGTGAAATGTTGTCCCTTGTACATGAGAAGATTTTTTGCTTGTATAAGTGTCTTACATGTCGATTTGCATTTGTTTTTTTTCATTTACCGTCTTTCAAACGCGTACTGACATTTTTTGACAAATATTTGCGAGAAATAAACGAAATATTTTAGATGGTCGAGTTAGGCGAAAGACCCTGTATGTGAATATATGTGCCTGGGTAAGGGCAACCAAATATACACGAATGTTCACATGCATCTGTTCGTCACGTGCAGTAATATGCCCTTTGAAATAGGCAACACGATATACATCGCATAACCGACACGTGTAAAATGTTGATTAAAACGCATTATAATTTATTATGACATTAACATTTGTATTAAAAAATAAAATAAAAATATATACTATGTGTATAATTTTTAAGGATTCGATATTACTTATCAAGATTTATTTAATAAATATTTAACAAAGTTTTTACGTTGAAATATCAGTCGCATCGTAATTAACCGTGTTTAATTTTGTTTAACACTATAGATCACGCCGTTCACATAGATTTAAATCTTGAAGATTAAAAAAGAAAGAAAGAAAGAAAAAAAGAAAGATAAAAAAAAAATAACATGAAGCGAAGACAGGTATAAATTTATATGTGCGCCTAATCGAATGCAATTTCTTTGAAACTTAGTACGATGTAGGATCATTGGGCCAAGGACTTTGAACACGAACAGTTCTATTCCCACGGAAGACTAGTAAATGGTATCTAGAAAGACACTGCGGTGTCATTATCCTTTAATAAGCAACAGCTACATTGAAAGGCACAACCTTTCGGTTAAAGATCGGAATAAAGTTTTAATCTGGAATACGAATGGTACTCTTGTATATTCTCAAGTATACAGGATACTCGTGTATCCCGATTAACGATATTAAATTAACAAAATATGTTTTTTAACAATTCACATCTATCTTATTTCACAAAAAAATAAAAATAATACTTAAATAAAATGTAACAACTTTATATGATCGATATCTTTTTTTTTAATTCTATATCGAATTAAATTAGATTTATTTTTGTTACATTTGAAAAATGATACGATTAGAAATATTTCATCCGATATAGAGTAAATTTAGTATTTTAATTATAGGAGTATGAAATTCGTTAAATAAATTCGTTCGATATTACAGCATAGATGGAAAAACATTATTATTTTAATTCGGTAATAACTTATTGACGTAGGACGAAGATAATATGAATTACGAGTGCATTCGTAACTATCGGCGAGGGCTGGCTCTTATAAAAGCAAACGACGATTTAAATTGCAAATATGTTAAAGGTCGATCGATAGAAAGGTACAATGAATCATAAATGGCTAACGAAGAGAAAGCGTCATCAATAACGTTTGATTCTTTACTAGGAAGTTGAGATATAGATGACTTAATGTAACTTTTTATTTAAATGATCAATACAAAATCATTTAATTTTCTCAATCTCATTATTTCTCCACTAGAGAAAAATATATTTGAAGAAAACAAAAAAATGATTGTTAGATATGCGCTCTTATTTACGCGTATATAATAATATAGAAGTATATTATTATTAAATTAACGACAATCACATTATATCATCAACATTAATCGTTATACATATTTTCTTGACAGTTACCTATAAAAAAAAAAAATAAAAAAGTAGAAAAAACATTCAATTTCTTTTCGAATGATTTATTTCGACTTTCACAATTTCATCGATCTAGAAGTCATTTGTATATTTAGATTTAGGTGATTACGAAATATAGTGAAATAATAAGAATAGTTATTTTCTTTTTTCGAAAGTTTATACAGGTAGAGATATTTTTAAAGAGGAAACAAGATGCGTTCGAAACGTACGGAAGAACGTTACTCAACGTTTACACATATAAAAAAACACAGTCAAATTTTGATCGATAAAGTCTTACTATTTATGACAGTAATTTTCGTTATTTTAAAAGGAACAACAACGAATAATACATTTTTTCCTCTTCGATGGTGTTACCAATGTAACGCGTTTACACGAACTCGTTTGCATTTGACATTATACGGCAATCACCTGTGAGATATAATACTGGTAAATCAATATAATATTATGCGTAATTAATTCAAAAAATAAAAAAAAACTGTCATAGTATTTAATTGATAGATCTATAAAATAAATTAGATGGATGTTCTAACGAAATAAATCGTTCGTGTGTTTACGAGTCGCGATTACGTATATATATATATATATATATATAATATTTCGTCGAGAAATTCGAATAATGAGAAAAAATTTATTTGTAATAAAAGATTAAACACGACGATTAAATTTATGATTTACAAGTCGTAGGTCATTCGAGTAAAATACGATAACCGAGGAGGAGTTAGGTATTTTCTTCTTCTTTTTTTTTCTTGTTTCTTCTCTTTTTTAACGACGAGTTGTTATTGAAACAACGTTTCGATAGTCTCTTAATAGAGAAATTCCTTTTTTTTTTCTTTTTGGATAGATTTATTATGTCAAGAGAATAAATCGCGTTGCGTAAGAAAATAATACTCTCGAGATGGCCATCAAACGACTATGCTTACTTTGAAAAGGCAAGACGACTCCTTCAAAAACTCAGAACCGAGTTTGTCAATCTACCGTACGGATCGTCGTTCTACGGGAAAGGTAAGAATGTTTGAAAACGAGAAACGTTAAGAAAGAAAGCAAGTAAGAAAAAGAATAAGAGGAAGAAAAAATATTGAAGTTGATGAAGTTGAAAAAAACGACGACGACGACGACGATGAAGAAAAAGAAGATGATGAAGAAGAAGAAGAAGAAGAAGAAGAAGATGATGATCTTGCATTCACTGCAAGAGTAATAATCATCTTGGCTTATTACGTAAGTAAAAGGAGCGATCGTTGGCCTGAGTTAAGTAATCACGAAAAATCACAACACGTGGCGGGTAGGTAAACGCATCTTTTGAAACGTGATTTTAAACGGAAGTTGAAATTTCGAATGGAGTTGTTAAAAAATCGTTTCTTTTTTTTTTCTTCTTCTTTTCCGAATTGAAATGTCATGGTATGTATAATTTCTACATTGATCTCTTATCTATTTCTTATTCTTCTTCCTCGAATGATTCAATCGATGATCCATCCTTTCCTCTTTATCGATTTATTTATTTCGTTGATTATTCTTTCAAATCATTTTTTTTTCTTTTTCCCATTCTAAAATAATAGACAATTATTATTTTCGAAAAAGATAGAGAAAGAATACAAAGTAAAATGGGGCTACTGTATTTTTGTTCGTAAATCATTTAACTTTTTTTATCATATATATTTTTGTTTTGTAAATTTTTACTTCCCAAAAAAAAAAAAAAATGATAGACAATTACTTTCGAGAGAATAGAGTAATGTAGAAAGGAAGAGGACGAGTTGTATTTTTTTTCTCTTTCTTTTTTCTTTTTATTTTCGTTTTCCTTTTTGTTTTTGTTTATTGGGATCATTCGTATTATTTTTTGAAGGGAACAAGAAGCGTTGGCGTCTGCCGAAATAAACTTTCCCGGGTTATATAAATGCAAGATCTCAGCATGTGTTGCTTCTCGCCGGTATAAAGGTCGGCTCTGCCCCCAACAGTCCAAGAGTTGCTCGCGAACTTCACGCCGGCAACCATCGGGAAAGGAACGATCTATATGTGACGCTACTTTCTTCTCGTGTTTCGACTTATTTTCATTATTCTTATATTCTTATATTTCTTCTTCTTCTTATTCTTCTTATTATTATTCTATTACCTGTTTAATCTCCTTTACCTTTGCCACCCGAGGCATCCTCACTTTCTCGTGACCAGGCCACCTTACACCATTCTTCTATTATCCGCAAAACAGACGTCGTGCCGGCCAACATGCGCTCCTTGGTGAGTCTTCTTCTTCTTCTTCTTCTTCTTTATCTTCTTCTTCTTCTTCTTCATCGTCATCATTATCATCATTATTATTTATTTTGTTTTTTGTTTTTTTTTTTTAATCTTTTCCTCTTCCTTTTAACTTCTAATATTTTATTCATTCAGTCAGAAACTTTCGTTCTCTAATTAATATTTCATTATCGTTTTACACATTTACTTGTTATTTATTTTTTCTTTTTTTTTTTTCTTTTTATTTCGCGTTTATCGTATATTATTACTTTTTGTGAGTTTTTTGTTTTTTCTTTTTTTTTTTTTTTAGGTTTAATCGTAGGATTGTTTTACAATTAGATATTGAAATATTTTCTATATCAATGGACAGGTTGAAAATTATTTTTTTTTTATTAGAGAATAAATGATTGAATGAATTTTTATAATAATTTCAGATGAACGTTCTTTTCTATTGAGAATTTATTGGACAATATATGTATATTAGAATTCATTTTTATTATCATATTTCTAATTCTTGTTTTATTTTTATTCAATGTTTATATTGCATATTTATTCTAACTGGAAGTTTACAGATTAAATTTTACGATTATTTAAGATAACAGTTAACACGTGTTAAGATTATTTTATTACAATAAAGAAAATAATACATTTTTTTTTAATAATTTCTCAGATAAACGATTTATTGCACATTGATTGGACAATAAAATCAATAAAATCTATAATGATATAAAAATCGTATTCCTCGAGAACGTTCAACTTTGCGTATTTACCGGTTCGATTGATAAACCGCGCTTATATTGCCTGTGGACATCTTGAAAGCGTGAATAATATTTACGATCATTGCATAATTATTGTCGAAGACTTACCGATCCATTTAACCAAGTAGCCAGGTGACTTTTGTAACACTAATACGAAATTCGAAAATACAAAAAATCGAAAGTTACAATATATATTCGTCCAAAAAAAAAATGAAAGAAAATTAATTAGAAAACACATTCCATTGGTTGATAATACTCGACAACTCGACATGTGATGAAATTAATAATAATAATAATATTAATAATAATTATTATTATTATTATTAATTTTATTGGCTAGTAAAAGAATCGAGTAAGATTGAAATTTGAATGACAAAGGATTTTTAAGATGCTTTCTCAAGGAATTCTTGAGAGGCTTTTAGAGTGGGACGATGGTTGAAGCGAAGGTATTTAAAAAAGACAATGCACGTGTAACGTGTAAATATTAACGTTCAGTTATTCTCGGTTACCTTTTACCAGTTGAGATTGTAATGGGTATCATGACCTATCGACTAACACATTCATTTTGCCCTGACCTTTCGTTGGGGAAAGGTATGTTAGAAGATTTACAGAACATGTAGGCGTGTGTGTATATATATATATATATATGTATCTTTGAACATCCTTGTGTGTACTCGCTTTCGATTTTCTGTTGGATCTAATCTTCATACACATGTATGTACACATATGTATGAAATATGTACATAACTATTTCTCACATATTATTAATATTTATTTATTGAAATATTATTATCAATTTGAAATCGTATCAATATTTCAGTAATAACCGAATCGGACGTTTACAAGATATCGTCAAAGTTTCAAGATGTTTTTACTGTTAAATACGAACGAAAGATTTTTTCACAACTGCAAGGATGTTCAAACTTATTGCCGATAGGCTTTTACGTTTCTTCAGTCAATAAATTAAGATTTAATGTACTCGTAAATGCACCGTTAGTGTATTTATAATAGACATGATAACCTCTTAAATGGAATAAATGATTCCAATTTAAAATCATTCCTTTTTACGAACAAAATTTCATTGTTTTCCTCCTCCACCCATATAAACGAGCATATAACACGTTGCATCTTTTTTTTTCACGAAGAATAATTTCCAATCAAATAAATAAATAAATCAATTTTAATTGTTCTCATATATTATTCGTTAATTTTTCGTTTTAGCTAATGATCGCGATCGTTGGTTTTGCCCACGGTCAAGAATACTTTCGAGTACCCGAAAAGGTGGTAAGCGAATCACGCGACCTTGGGGATACTCGAGGTCATTACTCGTTCGCATACGAGACCGAGGGTGGAATTCTTCAGAAAGAAAGTGGTAGCAGGAAATATGCTGGTACACCAGACGAAACTCAGTTGATTCAGGGCTCGGTGCAGTACAATGCACCCGATGGAACACCCATTGCCATGAGCTGGACCGCCGATGAGTTTGGTACTCAAGTATCTGGTACTCATATCCCAACCCCACCACCTATCCCACCGGCTATTCAACGAGCTCTTGATTGGATTGCAAAACAACCTTCGACCAGCGAACAACCAAATCCCCCTCAACTGCATCAACAACAACAGCCGAAGCAACAATCCACTTACAGTCAAAATGCTGTTATCAATGCCAATGTTAATCGTCCTAACCGAGTGCTTCCGAATAAACGATTCTGAATCATAGTATTTTAAAGTTATGTTAGACGTTAGATGAGACGTCTGATCACGCGAGATTCCTTTTATGTAAATTTAAATAAGCATTTGTTGAGAACTTTTATATATAATATATATACACACAAATATATATATATATATATATATAATTATATATGTATATGTGCGTAGGTATGTGAAAAAGTTTTATCGATAAGAAATGAAAGTTTGTATAGAAATTGATAAAATATGATTAATTATAATCATTTGTGATTTTATTTATATTTTTTATAACACAGATCGAGGATAAATAAAGAAATAATTTTGTTGTATTATTTCTCTCTGATTGTGAATAATGATATATAAATTATTAAATAAGGGAATAAATCGATCATCGGACTCCGTAGGCTAACTATGTTACCTGGCTATTTTATATATTTTTTCGATACGAATTATGACTCAATTTATATAATAATCATTCTAAGATGTATATGTAGACTGACGAAATTTTGAAAGTTTAACTATTTTTCGTATGAATATATATGTGTAATCTTTTGTTATATAATTCCCGAATACATGATGATGATTATTTATAATATGTAACGTAGAAATTACGGGCGTTGAATTTTGTTCACTTTTTCTTTTTCTTTTCTTTTCTTTTCTTTTGCTTTAGAATTATTACGTGTACATCGTTATGCAAAATTTCGTTGTTAATTTTCAAAGTTATCGCGACAATGACGTTGACTTTTAAACGAATATTACATAATATAATGTAAAATGTATTTTAATTTCTCGTTTGTTCATTCGTTATTAAGTTATACCTTTCACGAAGGAGAGAGAGAGAGAGAGAGAGAAAGAGAAAGAGGATGAGAGAGAAAAATTACTATGCTAATTCAATAGCTAATTCAATTATTTCTATTTGCTCGTTCGTGATCGAACGATAATGATTCCTTTAAAACTTAAACAATATCATTCTCGTTCGATATACTTCTCCATAAATCTACTCGAATTAAATTCATGATTTATACCAATGAAAATATTTGTTTATGCATTAATACATACGCAAATATATCGAATAATATTTATAAACCAATTGATTAGTCAGTCAAAATTATTCTTGACAAACGAAAGTAATTAATTTAATCATTCGTATTTTATTGATTCGTTTTCAAATTTAGCTGGACGTCGGATGTTATGAAATCCAAGGATACTAAAGAAGACGATTCACTATTACGTATTACAAGATTAGGTACGAAAAAAATAAGTCAATCATTTGCGTGTACAAAAACGACTTTATTTACAATAACACACCTTGCCCTACTTCTGAGCTTTCTACGCTGGATACATCATCTCAATATTGTTTCAAAAAATTAGTTACATGCGTTATGTCATTTCGACATACGTTAGATCATTTCCAAAAGCATTGATCGATGAAGTATCTTAATAAGACATCGTATATATCTTTAGTATAAAACTTTCTATATATATATATCTTTGATATATCCAATGTGAAAATTAACATAAGTTAGGCAAAGTTGTTAAAGAAGAGAAATGAACGAGTAAGAGAAAGACAAAGAGTAAGAAGAAATAAAAGGACAAGAAAAAGAATAGAAAAAGATGAAAAGGAAGAAGTAGAAGAAGTAGAAGTAGAAATAGAAATAGAAATAGAAGTAGAAGTAGAAGAAGAAGATGGGAGATCATCTGTTTAAAACAAAATTATCAATTTTCAACATTTTCTTGTGGGTGAGTGGCGATGTATTCAAGAGCCCTCTGGATATGTGCTGGTATTTCTGGTGGAACTGGTAAGTGTGCACCCTCAGGATGGAATCCATTGGCATCAGCAGTGTAAGTAACATGGACTGGAGTACCATCTGGAGAAGTATACGTGAAGGTTCCAGTGACCTGTTTCAAAAGCTCTTCACCCTGGGTTCTAACTTGTGCTTCTTCAGATACATGAATGCCATTAGCTGTCTCGTATTCGTAACTGTAGCTACCATCTGGGGCTGGTTCGGCCACCCTTTGTTTTACGATTTCTATTACTTCATTTTCAGTAGCTGGGACAGCCAATGCCACCGAGACGAGGGCGAACAAGACGATTACCTGAAACACAAACACGAACATACATACATATACACACACACACATTCACATTGAATAGGCATTTTGAAATTATCATTTTTCTGATCGAAGTGAAATTTCACCACGTGTAACATTTTTTGTAAATATATATATATATATATATAATTTATTTTATTTTTATTTGTTTTTTTCTTTTTTTTTTTTTTCACGATACACATTATACCACACGATCGTAAATATGTCATTTCGTTCGTACGAGAAATGTTCTGTGTACGAACGTGAAAGAATTGCGAATAATATAAAAATTAAAAAGGAACATTCGTATACGCGTGTTCACGAGTTATGAATATTAATGAGGGATTCGCAGTTTCTCTCTTCTAGACGGATTTTTATTCTTATGTTGGTTAGACAAGAGAATAAGACGAGAACTCGAGATGTTGTTGCGACAAAAAAAAAAAAAAAGAAGAAGAAAAAAAGAAGAAAAAAAGAGAGAAAAAGAAGAAAGAACAAAAAGATCGAAGATTTTGTAATGTTTTCTAAGCCACGTTTGAAAGGTGCAATCGACGATAGGTATACTAACAAATGACCACGAATGATTGGTTAATTACGTGCATTTTTTTTTCCCCCTTCCATTTTTTGCTTCGTTTTCTTTTCCAGGTTATTTATTTTTAGACAAAAGTACGTATTTATCCACGGTAATTATAATTTTTCTCTCTTTTTTTTTTTTTTTCATAAAACACCAAGTATATTTTTGTTTTCACACTTATTAAACTCACCAATCGGCTCATGTTGAGATCAATTTAGTTATAGAATTTCGACGAATTTATAAGATGCGTCTCGAAGAAGCTTCGAACTGTTCTGAATTGTCATTTGGTTGAAATCGTCCGCTTTATATAGGAATCCAGCTAAGCAAAAACGTCATCTATAAAACTTATACGAAAGGCTAATATCATAATCGAAAATCCCCACCTTAAGTCAAACCCTTCCTCCCACCATACGTACTGTCAAACACCGTGCCTTCAAAATTTGACGACTGTTTCCGAATAGTCGCGAACGATTCGAGGAAACTCGAAAAACCATTCGAGGATCATTTGACACTAGCTTGCTTGCTAGATGGTTGAACAACATCGGTTACTCCTAGTTCAGTTCAATAAAATTTCGTCGCGTGAACACAACATTGTTTTATCTTTATTATTTTATTATTATCTCGTTCACATTTCGTTTGCGACAAAATGATGAGCGTTATTTTTTCTATTGATTTTAATTATAACAATTGCACACGGGCATAGTTTACTTTCATTTTATTTTATTTTATTTTATTTTTATCGATTATATATTGGAAGAGTGACATCATAACGAATTAGCATGATCGAGGGACGTAAGAATGTAAGACATTAAACTAGGACGACGTTTGTTTGCTAAATTAAACGTGCAACTCGTGTTTGGATTTTTTAATATGAACGAAAAACGTAAGACAATATAATCTTGCAGATGTTAGAAAATATCTTCGATTTTTGTTGTGTTTTTTCTTCTTCTTTCTTTTCGTTCGATTGGGGGGTGGGAGGCGGGAGGGAGTTAAGGGGTTACAATCGAAAAAGATTGAATTCTATTAAAAGCCGATGATATCACGTAAGATAACTTTTAAAAACGCGGAATTAAACATGTGTTAACAAGCTATTATACCTAAAGTGAGATGACGAGGAAGAATATTAAAAATAGAAAAAGGAAATTTTTCGAATGTCAACCTGTAAAAATTGCTTATTTATAATATGTTAATGTTACGCGCGCGTATACATTGCTTGAGAGTGTTCCTTTTTTTCTTTTTTTTCTTTTTATTTGTATCTTCCTTTTTATTTCGTTTATTGCACTTTACATAAGAACATAATTAAAATACTAAAATTCGTCTTCCGACGAATTTTTTAATAAATTTGCATTATAATTATAACATTAACGACGATATCATATGAACATTAATTTTTCCTAAACACCATTTTATTTTCGATTTCAACAAACTTATAAATATATATATATATATATGTTTTTTTTTATTTCTCCCTTATTTTGTTTTTTTTTTTTTCGGTATTTCTTATCTATTCGAAATTTCTCATCGTCGTTTTATTATATTTTTCTTCATTTTAATTAATTATTTCGCTTGAAAAAGTTGAATAGCTTAATCGTTGAACTTTCGAATTAGTTAGTTCTATCGTTATTAAGTAAACTTAACTATCCTTGAATTCATTTAAATCTAAAGAATGATAAACAAAAACACCATTAAAGATGAAGAAAGGCATCAGTTTATTGTTAAAGGAAAGAATAAATTACGCGCATCCGTGGCTTATCACATTTTTAGAGGAAGACTTCTGTGCAATAATACGCTTGCTATCTCATCCTCTCTCTCTCTCACCATAGGAATTTAAGAAGATTATTTAGCGAAGAACTTTCGATTTGAGTAACACTGCTTCGGGCTATAATACGTCGCATAGCCTTCAAGCTTTATGCGTGAAAACACCTCCTCATCTTTGAGCCTAACAAGCCGAAAAGATGAAAGGATCTCTTCCATAATCATTTTTTTTTCTTCATCCATTATCGATGCGAATGATATTGTGGTATAATACTTTTCTACTTTTTTTTCTTATTTTTTTTTTTACTACATCCTTTCGTTCATATATATATGTATCTTTTGTTGTAAGTTATTATATATCGAATTCAAATTATCCTTATAAGAAAAGAAAGAAAGAAAGATTACTATAGATAGATAGATTTGTTTATTTATAGATTATTATATACATACATCAAAAATATGGATTTGGTTTTATATGAAATAAATTCAATATTAATTTTATACGAATTATATACAATTCTCAATCGAAAGTATAACATTAAAAATTAACAAATATATTATTCAATACAAGTTATATATATCTATATATATATTTTTGTTTTAAATATAGTATAATAGAATAGAATAAATATATATATCTATATATACGGAACGAAAAGATATTTTTTTTCTAATCGTGTTAGATTGGTGCTTTTTTTTTTTTCTTTTTTGACAATCGTTGCGCCGATTTTTAATATTTCTTTTTTGTTTACGCAAAAACAATTTTCGTACGCGCATAATTAACTTGAATTGTCATATTTAATCGGTTTGGCCACGCTTGGGACTTTGAAGAGGCAGAAAATGAGTTATTCATCGAGAATTTATGTCGAAATAATCGATTGAAGGTAATTGCATAACTCGCGAGGACTGTCGGCGACTTGTGTTGTGCGATCATTGAAGAAGAGAAGAAAATAAAAGAGAGAAAAAGTCTGTAAAATATATTTTTTAAAATATACGCGTACCCTTCTTTCTCTTCTTCGTCTGGCCCATCTTTCGTACGGATTTTCTACTTTTCCAAGTTTTTGAACGTGGGAATATTTTATAAGCGATAATTAATTTATAAATTTTCGTAAAAAGAAAAGAGAAATATTTCTTTTTATTTTGTAATTTTGGATTTAACAAAAAAATTGATTAAAAATACGTGTATGAGAGAGAGAGAGAGAGTATTACGTCACTATAAAGAAAAATATAAAAGATGAGCTATTATCTACATCCCAAGGTCACAATTTGCATAATGAGTATCGATATCGATATTCCGTTAAAACATAGTTGCTTCATCGAAATCAGGTTTTAACTGTTTCACAATAAAGAAATCGTTATTAGAATCATTGGGATTTTTAAATGGCCATAAAACAAAGATGATACAAGGTCATTGTGTTTCAAAAATAAAAAATCCTTGATATTAAATGTTAGTCTTCGATTCGCATATAATTTGTTTACGATATTGGCCCTTCAACGTTTTTGAATAATTTGAACGAGGGAAAGATACGTATTATTATTTCTTGTTTGCCCCGTTGTATATGAAAAGATTTTTGTTTTTTAACTTACGATGGTAATAAGAAAAAGATTGAAAATAATTAAACGAACTTGAAACGCCGTGAAAGATCGATTCGTCTTCTTTTTAATATCTCGTCGTCCTTTTAAGGCCCTTGAAATATTTGTCTGACGTAATTATTATCGTACCTACCTAAGAAGAAAAAGAAGAAGAAGAAGAAGAAGGTCATCGATTGAAATTCGTCCGATAATAATCGTGTCAAAAGTATCAATTTTACGATCAATTTGAAAAACGGCGTATACGTAAGATAATAATTTAATAAGTTGATCAAGAGATTCTCGATTCGTAAAATCATGTTCTTAAGGAGTTACATGGGTTTGGGACTTTAAAAAAAATTTTTTTATTTTTATTTTTTTTTTTTCAATTCTACAACTCATCTAGAATATTGTATTCAATTTTGAATTCGATAGGAGTAGTAGTTTTAAAGATAGAGTCTTGGGAAGTTTCACTCTTTAATGGCTCTTATACCAGCACTCAAATCTTTAAACGCGTTTTTCTCAAAACGCCTTTTCTAAAGTCGGTTGTCAAGATTTTTCGAAAACTATTTAACTGATTTTCATGAAATTTGCTACACGTTTTCGTGATACTATTGACAAGGACTTGGACGAGAAGGATTTTCGTTTTTTTCATAAAATCGAATTTTAAGAAACCAAAATGTGGTGCAAATTGTAGCGAAATTTGAATGTTCTTGCTAAAAACGTTGCTAAAAATCCAAATTTTAATTATTTTCTTTTTCCTTCGTCCAATTTCTAGTTTTAAGTATTCACTAAAAGACTCTATTTTTTCAACAGAAAAACCCCCACCGTTTATAAGTTCTGCTGTCAACGCGAAAACACTTTTTTTCGGTRGGGKCACYGGAAATGACGTCGCAATGGCTGAGTTTAAAATATTTTTTAACCAAAAATTCA